ACCCACTTCAGACCTTAGACTCCATGAAATCACTTCCTGCTAGATCCAGAGGTGACTAATTCAGACCAGATCAAACGGAACCAACTTCCAACAGGCCACACACTCGGGTCAGAGCAGGGACACTGACTATCCCCTGCTTAAGCTGCCCATTTTGCTAGTTTGTGTCTCCACAAGGCTACACAGTTCCTCCCCAGCCAACGCCATCTTATAGGAACACACTCAAGCTCCCCAGAGACTTAACTAGAATCACATTTGTTAAAGAGGTTTTATTTCCATGGCCCATATGGGATGAAAAGATGCTTTTCTCTGCCAAACAATCCAAATAATCACACACAGAGATGTGACATTTATTTTGGTCCTTGAAAACTCGTCATGTTTCGATCTGGGAGACTAAGAAGAGGCAGAGCTAGCTCTAAGTCGGGGCTGGCTAAACAGTACTCCAACCAAGACGGCTAGCAGAGAACAGTCTCAGCATCTCTGTCTACCCACCCCTATGCTGGCACAGCCTGGGGAGCAGGGCGGCACTCACCGTCTGTCACAGCACTGCCATTAGGCACGCTTCCCAGATCAACAGTTGGCCCATCCAGGAAAATTGTCAGCTCTCCTCCGGAGACAACACTGCCTTTGTTCTCCGTCTGCAGGTTCAGGGTCAGTTGCGTGTTCTCCACTGTGTGATACAAAATGCAACATGGACAGACTAAGTCAAATACACAGTCAGGACTCTACCCATTAGAGGCCTCCACTCCACCTCCTCTGGCTTCCCCGCAGTGTTTTCCCGCCCTTTCCAGCGTGTCCTGTGGCATGAGAAGCAGAGGGGGTGGAACGTGCTGAATGGTAATGAATTCATGTTGGGCAAGTGGGAAACCCATACTGTTTCTCAAGACACTATAGCCCACACTAGCTGCGACGCCTTCACATTGCTGATTTATGTGTGCTTGCTTACGAGCTAGTACACAGAGAGCAAGGCTGTTGATGGGCACATAAAAAACTGGGGGCACGCTACACCCCTGCTACGCATAGGAAGGACAAAACAAGAAACACCCCTGCACACACCCCAGCCTACTTGCCCTGTGTCAGGGTACACTCAACAGCTTCCAATCAGGCAGGTATGATTATGATCAGTACAATGAACACTTTACTTCTCTTCAGTTTGGTCCAGTTGGGAGCTGGAGCCTCCATCTCCAGGTCGTTCAACAGTTACAAAGTAAGAACCAGCAGGCAGATGTCCACGGGTTTGGGAAGGAATCACCTCATGCTAGATTCCCCCTCCTCACCTGCCCTGCACCCTACCAGCACTTCATTTCATGTGTTACTGTGGTTACATTATTATAAGCTATCATTCCTGTCTCTAGAGCAGTGGTTCTCAACCTTCCTAATGCTGTGACCCTTTAATACAGTTCCTCAGGTTGTGGTGACCCCAACCATAAAATTATTTCATTGCTACTTCATAACTGTAATTTTGCTACTGTTACAAACTGTAATGTAAATATCTGTATTTTCCAATGGTCTTAGGCGACCCCTATGAAAGAATTGTTCACCCCCAAAGGAACTGAGGCCCACAGGTTGAGAACCATTGCTCTAGATCAAGGTAGTCTATGGATAAAGAGTTTTCATAAGCACTGAAGTAAATTTGAATATTTTTGGGGGATCATTCCTCTCCCCAATGGGCAGAAAAATGAAAGCTAGCTTCTAACCTAAGATAGACCCAGCCCCTTTAAGAACTTAACAGAGCCGGGCGGTGGTGGTGCACGCCTTTAATCCCAGCACTCGGGAGGCAGAGGCAGGCGGATCTCTGTGAGTTTTGAGGCCAGCCTGGTCTACAGAGTGAGATCCAGGACAGGCACCAAAACTACACAGAGAAACCCTGTCTCGAAAAACAAACAAAAAAAAAAAATTCTTAACAGAAGGTCTGGAGAGAAGGTTCAGCAGTTAAGAGCAGGCACAACTCGTACACAGAATGAAGTTCCATTCCTCTCACTCACATCTGGCAGCTCACAACCATTTTTAGCTCCAGCTCCAGGGGATTTGACACCCCCTCCTGGCCTCCATGGGCAACCTATAGCCACACAGACACAAACATACGCACATAATTTAAAGGAAAAAACAAACAAATCATAACAGTAGAAAAAGTATAGTTATGAAGTAGCAACAAAATAATTTTATGGTTGGGGGGTCCATGTCAAGAGGTAAAATGTACAGCATTCCTTAGTCTACCTAGCATGAACTTTCTTACAGTCACTAGCCTTTCCTCTGGGACTTTTTAGGTTGCAACTGCAAACTCTACAAAACCTTCCAAGCTATATGACCGTCACAAGGGAATGCAGGGCTTACAGATGAACGGGAGCCACCATGGCCAGCTCCGTAAGAACACACTTGGGAGATGTGTGACAGACTGTGAGAGCACCTGCACAGATCCCAAGTGGCTTTCCGGGAGAATAGACCGCAATTTCCAGAAGAAAGTCCTAACAGCTTCAGTTTACCTTCAGATAATTCAGACAAAAAACTGCACACAGGAGGTGGGGACAGCTCAGCAGACGAGAGCATGTTCCGCACAAGCATGAGGACCTGAGCTGGGTCCCAGCACCATACAAAACATTAAAATTAAAAATCCAGATATGTGGGCTGGAGAGATGGCTGCGCAGGTAAGAGCACTTGCTGCTCTTGCAGAGGACATGGGCTCAATTCTCAGCATTCTCATGGCACCTCACGACCATCTGTAACCCCGATTCCAGCGGTTCCAACATCTCTTCTGGCCTCCAAGAGCACTGGGCACTCACATGGTACACACACATCCAGGCAAAAGACCCATGCACATAAAATTTAAAAATATTAACAACAACAGTTTAAAAAAAAACTTTTTAGAGCCACATGAGGCTGCGTTCCTGTCAGCCCCGCACTGCTAGAGGTGGTGACTGGAGTTTGTCGGCAGCTAGCCTCGCTCCAGACTCAGTAAAACTCTGTCTCAAAGGAGTAAGGTAGAGAGTGATGGATCAGAACATCTGACACACTCCTCTGGCTTCCACTTACACACACACACACACACACACACACACACACACACACACACCCCACACATGCACGCTCCACATACAGAGAAGAGAAAGCAGATGTGGTGAAATGTCACGTGAGGATCAAGGTGGAAGGCACTGGGTGTTTATTCCATCATCCTTTTAATTCTGTACATTTGTGAATTTCATAATAAACAGTTGGAAAAGTTTTTTTAATTGGCAAAGCTATTAAAAAAATTAAACCACTGAGAACAGTACACCCTATTATTTTCTTAAAAAAAAAAAAAAAAAAAAAAAAAAAACTGAGCCGGGGAGCCTTACAATGTATAATGGGCCTAAAGAAACCATTAGCTAACTGAGTGACAGACTGGAGCATACATCGAGGCTGAAAGGCCCAAGTGTGGCTGGGAAACACACACTGGAATCTTAGTCATAAACAGGAGCCTGCGCCACCTCACCTCAGGCCCTCTGGTCTCCTTACAGCCACACTCACGACTCTACAAAGGCCCTTTCTCTTCCAGCAACTCTTTCAACTACTCTGGGAGGCACTGCCTAAAATCAAGAAACCTAGCCGGGACTAGTTCACTCTGCAACACCAGCGCTTAGCAGGCTGAGGCAGGAGGACTGACTTGAGTTCAAGGCCAGCCTGGTCTACACAGTGAGTTGCAGGTGAGCCTGGGCTATAGTGTAAGACTTTCTCTACAAAAATAAATGAATAAATAAAAATAAAAAAGGGGGAGCTGGAGAGATGGCTCGGTGTTAGTTAAGAGCACGCTTTACTCTTGTAAAGGACCTGAATTCCAGTCCCAGCACCCACATGGCAGCTCACAGCTGTCTGTGACTCTAGTCTCAAGGGACACAACACCCTCTTCTGGCTTCCTTAGGCACCAAGCATGTACATGTACAAACATGCAGGCCAAACATTCATATATGTACAATAAAAATTCCAAAAAGGAAAAAAAAAATCAGGAAACCTCTGCATGGCTGGTGGGGTGGCCCAGTGGGTAAAGGCGCTTGTCACCAAGCCTGGTGACCTGAGTTCGATCTCAGGACCCATACAGCAGAAGAAAAGAACGGACTCCTAAAAGTTGTCCTTTAACTTCTACAACTAAGCCACGGCAATGTGCCTATATTCACACACACACACACACACACACACACACACACACACACGCACACACACACACACTCACATGCACGTGCACGTGCACACACATAATTAAAAATATAAAAGAATTTAATCCCAGCACTCGGGAGGCAGAGCCAGGCGGATCTCTGTGAGTTCGAGGCCAGCCTGGACTACCAAGTGAGTTCCAGGAAAGGCACAAAGCTACACAGAGAAACCCTGTCTCGAAAAACCAAAAAAAAAAAAAAATAAAAAAAAATAAAAGAAACTAACCTACAGGAATTGGGCTTGGCACTCAGTGGCAGAGCATGTGCTTAGCATCCATGAGGCCTGGGTTCAATCCTTAGCAGGAAAGGGAAGAGGAACAAAAGGAGGGAGGGGAGAAAGGAAAGAGAAAGGAAAAGACCCCCCACCCCAGTGGGTGAACAGGGCAGTTTTTGTAACCAGACTGAGATCAGCGAGGCCCACTGCCCTTGGCCTCACAGGTCCTACTCTGTCTGGATCCCACAGTCCACATTGTACACTCTACACCAGCTGTTCTGCACACATGGTGATTCATGGGAACAAGAGAGTCTGCAATAGCTGTGAGGAAGCAGAAAATAAGCAAGGTTTTCTTTTTCTTTTTTCATTTTCATGTGTGCATCCTTGGTGTGCTTGTGAATGTGGTGTGCATACATATATGCATGTTTTGCACATGTATGTTCATGTATGTTGTGGCCTGAGGTTGATACTGGTGATTGACTTTGTGTAATCTTCTACCTATTCATGGAGGCAAGGTCTCTCAATCAAACCCAGAGCTTGCCAATCACTAGGCCCACTAAGCAGTTTGCTCTAGAATCCCCTTGTCTCTGCCTTTGGTAGCTGGAGTTACAGGTGAGCTGCCACAATCACCTAGCATTCACAGAGGATGTGGAGAGCCAATCTCAGGACTTACACTTGAAAACTGAGTGCTTTAACCCCAAGCTGTCTGTCTCCCCAGGCCAGAAAAGCAAAGTTTTAAAAACCTAACTGCATACTTCTGTTAAAGGAGCACGGTAGTTCACACCTATAATTCCAGCACTCGGGAGCTAGAGACAGAAGGATCAGGAGTTCAAGATCAGTCTTAGCTACATAATAAGTTCAAGGCCAGTCTGGGCTACATGAGAACCTCTCTCAAATAAACAAAGAAAGAGGTTGGTAGCTAGCTGTACATGGTACACACACCTTTAATCTCAGCATTTGGGAGGCAGAGGATCTCTGAGTTTGAGACCAGCCTGGTCTATAAAGTAAGTTCCAAACCAGTCAGGCCCTATTTCATACAAACAAACAAAACAACAAAAAGGACAGTGGCAAATACAGCTTTAAAAAAAGAACAAGAAAGGATGGAGGGAACTAAGCTGGGAGAAGCTTTTGGGTGAAGAGTCTCCCTGCAAAGGGGAGAGATGAATTATTGAGAGGATGGTGTTGAGAGTCATGCAGTGATCTAACAGAAGACCAGTCAAGGGAGTGGAAAAAGCGGGCCAGTCACCAGGTGGAGCACACCTGGCTTGTCTG